GCCCCCCCGCCCCCCCGCCCATGTTTCAACACTGTTTTTGAACCAAGTGCAACTAATGGTCCGTGTGGAGTTAAGATCAGAGCTTCTGTTTGTTAAAAACTGAGCTTATAAGCCCAGACATTAGCCAGGATGAAGAAAGCAACTTAAGTGAATGCTAGTGTCCAAGCACCAAAGTATAAGTAGCAGAAAAATAATCTTAGAGACTAAGCAGAGGATTGTGAGGCTGCATATCGTAAAGGGGGTCTTAGTACTCAGTTATTCTTAAATGTCATACTCCAATCTGCCTAGAAAAGTCAAATCACATTAAAATAAATGTAAGCCCAGAGCTAGAGAACATTAGCGTTTACACATACACATTAGGCATTTAGTAAGTGGGTAATTAGTGTCAGCTCTGGGGCACACACCTAAGTTCAAATTCAGGATTTGCCACCTTTTGGTTGGGGACCTTGGGCAAGTCTTTTAGGCCTCTGTCCCTCAGTTTTCTCTTCTATAAAGTGAGGATAATAGTAGTCCCTGACTCTTAGGATTGTTGTGAGAGATAAATGAGTTATGTAAAGTGCTTAGCACAATTCCTGGTACATCGTAAGTGCTATATAAGTATTTGTTCTTCTCAATTTTGCTTAGTCATTTGGGGAGAATAATGCATTTGTAGAATATAGCTCAAAAAATATAGTTTTTCACTTGATATTATGTATTTTACTACTGATAAGTATCTTTCATGGATGGGCTAAGTGCACTGATTGCATTTAATCTTGCTGTCCATTGGTCAAATATATTTAAATCATTATCCTTTGGCCTTATTTTTATATAGTTTCATGGAATTGTATAGATCAAGAGGGATTTTATGAATTGCCTTTCAGCCCCCTTTTATTTATTTTTATTTTTATATTTTTGTTCATCATCACCCGAGGATATTTTCTCCATTGATTTTTAGAGAGAATGGAGCGGGGGGGAGAAAGAAATAGAGACATCAATGTGAGAGAAACACATCAACCAGTTGCCTCCTGCGCCTGTCCAGACTGGGGTTAAAACCTGCAACCCAGGTACATGACCTTGACCGGGAATCCAACTTGAGACCCTTCTGTATGGAGGACGGTGCTCTAACCACTTAGCAACATCAGCCAGGGCCAGCCTACTGATTTTTAAAATGAAGATAAAGACTACATGACTTTCCCATTGCAAAGCTGTGACGGAGAGTCAGTGACAGTGTCACCTTAGTCCCTTGGCTGGATCCTTCATTACCTAATACTAAGAGTATTAGAAAAACAGTTTTTTTGTGAAAAAAAATATGTATTTGTCAAACTTCCAGGACATAGTTTCAGTCAGTGCCCCTCTCTGCACTTTCCAGGTGAGCTCCTGGGTGACGTGGCTGATCCTCACAGCCGGCTCCATGGAGGAGAAGCGGGAAGTCTTCTCATATTTGGTGCATGTGGCCAAATGCTGCTGGAACATGGGCAACTACAACACCGTCATGGAGTTCTTGGCCGGCCTCAGGTATGTGCAGTGGGGAATACGGTTGGCACAGTTTCCTCTTACAAGCTGAATGGCACTGAATTAACTGCCCTGGTAACCACATGTACCCAAAACAGGCAGTCGGTAGTGGCAATCAATACAAATCATTCCATCAGGTACCCACTGATCTTGAGGGATTTCTTTGTTCTTTTATGTCAGATACAGGAGATAAGTTGCTAGATGTTCTTATGATAGAATGATGGTAGAGGTAGAGCTAGTGATCATGCCTTCAGGCTTGAAAATATTTAGATTATACGTAATTGAACTGCATCAAGATAACTAAAGTTTTTTTTAAGCAATTGGATGGAAAGAGAGAGCAGCCTAATTGTTAAATGATTTTGGTTTTCTAATTGTACATTTTGCTTCCTCAAACTAAATTCTCAGCTATTTTAAGGAAACAATTAGAAATACAAAGATTTACATATAACAATACTTATTCAGTCATGGTGTCAGTTTAAAATAACCCAAATGAACAAGAAAAAAATGAAGTAACTAATAGGATACATCCATACACTGGAATGTTATTTAGCCACCAAAATTAATGTTTATGACAATTTTTTAATATCATTGGAAAACAAGTAACATATAATACACAAAAATATGTGGGAACAAAGCTATATGTAATAACCTCCGCAATATTTATACATGAAAGTTTATAAAATACTAGAGGCCCGGTGCACAAAAATTTGTGCACTCGGGGCGGGGGGGGGTCCCTCAGCCCGGCCTGTGCCCTCTTGCAGTCTGGGACCCATCAGGAGATAACGACCTGCTGGCTTAGGCCTGCTCCTGGGTGGCAGAGGGCAGGCCCAATCCCTAGGTGCAGCCCCTGGTCGGGCTCAGAGCAGGGC